CCTGCAGGGCTCACACACCCTAGCGAGCCATGGCGCCACTTTCCCGCTCTGACCCCATGCCAGCAAGGAACCTGCAACTGTCCTCGTGCCCGCGACCAGTACCGGACTGCACCCAAGGCCATCAAGCGCATTAACTTCAGCCTCGGTGACTGGTTCACCGTCACGGACCACTGGGTACAAGGCTGCATGTTCTGTGAGTGCTGGGTCATTGACCTCAGCATGCCACCCAAAGGGATCAAGTGTGCCACACTCTTTCTCCTGCTCACCTGCTTCAAGTCCCTTGATGACATTCACCTCCTATGGCCGCTCTACAGCTCTACAACACCACTGCAGAATGCTGCAGCATCATCACCGCCTTCCACCATGCCACTAAGCTGACCGACGACCTGGCCGCCGAACAGCAGGCACAGTTCGGTGCTGAACTGTGTCTGCTGGAAGCCATCACAGCCAACACACGCCGACGGTACCGAAATGAGTTCCGCTGGGTGCAACAGCTGGAGGCGCGCCGTGCACCCAGCACCAGCACCTAACAGGCAGCGAGCATCATATCTAAGCTTCCTGTGCTCAAGCCTTCCCGCGGTTTAAAACTGGGTGTACTGTCTCAGCATGACAGGCCTTCCTTGGTGGCGTCCAGCATATCTGCTGGACTGCAGGCTCGAATCCTGCACTGGCCCCATTTGGCCCCATGCTTCATTTCCTGTGGACTGCTTTCTGTACTGCCGAGGGATACTATCACACACAGCACACACGGCACTGGACAGGAGCTACGGCACCCTCGGGACCGATGGGACCGCGCCTCGTCCGCACTCCTGGCTGGCATGCTGTCCCCGCGCCAGGGCTGCGGCCACTGGGTCCTCCTGCCACATCTGCTGCCAGCGCTCACACTCCTGGGCGGCATGCTGTGCTCGCGCCACGGCCGCCGGGTCCTCCTGTGCCGCCGGTGTAGTTATTGATACACGTAGGGACCGCAAGAAGTCCATTGAACGGAGTGAACCAAGACGTGGTGGATTGCCGGACGCCGGCCGAGCAGTTGACGGCGACCGACCGCCCAACTTCTGCCCGTCATGCTGCATATTTGCAATGAACGCTAAACTTCTACTCGCTGAAGTACACTAAATTTCCGATGGCAATGGCACCACCCGAACTCGTGCAGCAACCTTGCACGTGTAGCAAAGCGCGATATGCAAAATTACCGTATCGATCTCTTAACCTTCCATAGGAGCTACGGCGATATATAATATAATATATATTCATATATGTACATGCGTCCTTGTGCGCGGCCCATCCGTATGTGCGTCCAAGGTCTGACCATCCCTATTCCTCGGTATTGCTATCCCTGCCTATCCCTATCCCTCCCTCCCAACGTATATATTTGCGCACACATGCATATATGCATGTGTATTGCATATATATGTATCTTGTGTAACGGCATTCCTTCCGACCCGAACTTTCCAAAACGCTCCCGCACGGACGGACGGACGGACGGACGGACGCAGATTTTTCTCGGGATAGTCCTCCGCTCCTTCATAGGAGCTACGGTGACGCACGCACCTTTTTCTCGGGATAGTCCTCCGTCCGCTCCTTCATAGGAGCTACGGCGATCCTCTCCCCACCTTATGCCCCTCTTTTCCTCTACACCTCCCTCACGTATCCTAATCCCGAACTCGACCCCCAGGCTGTCCTATCCTTCCAAGACGTGGTTGCCTCCTGCCTCTTCACGGCGTTCTGTGTGTTGCTGATGGTGGTGGTGGCGCTGTTGGGCTTCCCCTCCACCATGTTCCTGGTGCTGCTGTGGCAGGTGCGGCCGCCCTCGCTGAGGGATGCGCTGCCACCGCCGCCCTTCAGCTACTTCATGAAGCTGCCGTGCAAGTCCGCGGCAGAGTTTGGGTGAGAGAGGGACGTGTGTGCGTGTGTACTGCTGTAGGTGTGTATGGGTATGGGTAGGGGCCTGGCTTTACCTTTGGCCAGCATGTGCCCTTTTACCTGATGACTGCGGTGTCTGCTGGTGTCTGCGGCGGTGGTACTGGGGAGGAGGGGGTCATCGCTTTGAGTCGTCAAGGCGCATAGCGAGCAGCAGCAGCAGCAGCACGGGGAAGCTCTCCGAGCGGCGCCGGAGAGGCCCCGGGCTAGGGGGATCCTCTCGGTGCTGTCGCCTCATGAGCTCTCCACACCACCACCCGGGGGGAGAGGATGTGAGATGGCAGAGCGTGCGGGCGCAGGGAGGGCGGTAGCGGTGGTGGTGGCGACAGTATGTGCAGGATTGGCATCCGGGTGACAAGAACCCGGAGGGCAGGTGTCAGGTTAAAACTGTGGCCAATCATGGTGGGCAGGAGGGGGAGGGGGTGAGACCTCTGAGGAAGGGGCGTCTAGGCTTGAGCTTATCCCAGGGGAACATGCAGATCGAAGGCTTTGACAAGCGGCGGACCGAAAGCCTGGCGCTTGCATCTTGTATCTTTATACAAGTGTGTTGTGTCGGTAGTATGACAGATCGCAAGCACAGTTGTTGTTCTTGAGCAGGTCGAGACGGCTGAGCTCCCTGGGTCGTGAGCAGGAAGGGTCCAGTCCTGAAGGGAAACCTAATTGCAAAAGTGCGCGTATGCGGCGTCGTGACAGGGGATGCTGGGCACACTGCCCGTGCTGCAAATTGTATCGACAGTTGCCAGAGGGAAAGGGGAGGGTGGGAGAGGGACAGCGCAGCGAAAGGACATTTTACGTTTATGTCGTAAGCAAGACAGCTTTGCAGCGTTTACTTGAGCCTCTTGAAACAGCATCGTCTTCCTCCGCGCGCCGATGAACTGCAGAACTTTGGGGTAGGGCAACGTGTGTGAACCATACATAATCTTTATGCCACTTTCTCATCAGCGTATTGAACATGAGGATCTTTTTGTTTCTTTCCTTTGCATTTATGCCAGCGCGACTTGTCCTTTATGCGCCCAATTGGGTAGCGGGCAGGGGTCCTGGGCAGGTTGCTGAGCGACTAAATCTCAAATGCATGGTTGGCTAAGTAGATGTTGAGAGGGACTTAAGCAGCAACCTGCCAAGGCAAGAAGGGTAAAGGGTGAAAGACGGGCATGGGATCTGTTGGCTTCTAGGCCAATAGGTGTTTGTAATCACTGCATTGGCCACTTTTTTCCAAAACCTTGTCGGAAAAGCGCAAAAGTCCATGCGCTCCGCATGCAGCACGGCCAGGACAACGGTGGTGCGTTGTCATAGTCAATGAAGGAGCACATGGGAAGGCAGGCTGACGATTTGGAAGGCACAGGCAGCTGCCGCGTAACTCGAGCGCGTAAACGTGTCGTCACAGAGGAGAAGAATCACGAAACACCGCACATGAAGGTTGCTAACGCATGTGATGTTGGTCACAAAGACTTATTGGCAATGCTCGCTGATACAGAGGGCGGGCACATGTTGCTCGTATCTGTGCGGTCCAGGTGACCATTTTCCTGAGTAAGCTTCCATTTTTTCCTTGTGATAGTCACTAGTAAAATTTAAGAGAAAGTAATTTTTTTGAGATTTGCAAGAAACCATCATGAAGGCATCTGTAGGCCGACTCACCTTGCTACAGACAAGTTACAAGGAAATGAAATTCCCCGACATATCCCTTTTAAGTTTATTCCAATCAATAGCCATTAATTTAAGAAGCTTAAAACACAGCGATCAATCTTTTCGTTGTTTATTCGGCGAACGTACGGCGCTGGTGGTTGATAGAGTTATGACCCAAAATAGCGCTTCGCACAATTCCAGAAATGTTAAATAACGTATAGTATAAGGAATAGGCACGGAAACATATATCCCATCATTACACGCCGCAAAGCGTCAAGCCGTTCAGCTGGACACCAAAACCTTAAGCAGGAGCTTCACCATGATCAATCACACAGGTAAAGCAGTCTCAAAGAAACCGTTTATGGAATCCATTGTTTTATAGGTTGCGTGTGATGCGTGCACATTTTTCTCTACTGCTTTCATCGCTAAAATGCCACCCAGTTGCGGCTCGGTGCCATCGCCATAAAGGTGAAACTTACAAACCAATCTACGCTGCTTACTAACCTCTATGCAAATCGTAGGGCTTGGCTTGTGGCATATGATGGCTGCCGGGACCGGTAAGCATGACACATCCTGTAAACCGATATGATTTTCTCGTAATAACAATCTCGATCCAATAGATTAGCTCATAAATTCTTCTCATCTTACAGCTGCTTTGAAGCTTGCTTCTGGCTGAGCCTGTCTCTGGTTTTCGCACCGTCTAGACAGTACTGCTATGGAGCTAATACTCTTCCCTGTGTTCTCATCATTCCAGACACTGCAGATGAGTTTGTGGGGTTCAACGCTGTGGCTGACGAAAACTGTCGTAGAAGATGTGATGCCGGGCGCTTACCCTCCGGTGCGTATCTGTAAACGCTGTGTCTATAAACTGATACATACATAAGCTAACATAACAGACATAATCCCGTTTATTCGCCGCAGATTGCGGCACGGTTAGCGACTACACCAGGCTATCAGTTGCGTCGGCCAGCTCGGAAGGCCTCTCACTTGCGAACAGCACAAGCTACGCATCCTCAACCGCGGATCTCAACGACGCAACGGATTGCCCCACAGACTCACACAGAGCAACCCACTTGCACGAGGCGGCAGAACCCAGCGTACAGTCAACAACGACCGATAACCCAACACCCTCCACAACGCAGCACGACACCTCGCTTGTCCCACAGGCGGTCGTTGACGTGCTGCTTCACCAGCTTAGCACGCCGTACGAGGAGCCCCTATTGAATGAAGATTGCCCGTACAACATACGGCGGCACTGGTACGAGACCTTCCCCGCCCGCGAACGTCACCATCGCCACAAGCTGCAGCTCCAGCTCTCGGCAATTTTGCAGCGAGTGCAGCCGCGGACCCAGGTCGTGGGATTCATGCCTGATGCTACAGCCAGCACACAGCGCGCATCAGCAGGGGCTGTAGCATCCTTATCGGGGACCAATGCGACGGCCATGGGAGCGCCACCCGCGACCGCAGGCCCCAAGGGCCCTCGGTCCGTCCGCCGCCCGCCCCCCGGTGCCGTGCTGGGTCGGGGCGGCCTGAGCGCCGCCCTGGGGACAGTGCGCTTCGTGCTGCTGTTGTAATAGCGCGGAGGGGAAGAAGAAGTATTATGTGCCGATCAGGGGAGGGAGACCTGTGGCT